TTAGTGAAACTGACAAAAGCTTTGGGAAAATCACATATTGCCATATAAGTGCGAAAAACAACTATCTTTTCCTGTATTTCCTAATAAAAGCCACATCTTCTAACTTCACACAGTATGGCAGACAGGTAATTCCTGATATAAATGATATGATTTCTTCCTGTCTGTCTGTTAGTTTCACTGCAGGTCTCCTCCAGACAGTTCCAGTATCCACCCAGGCAGCAGAGGGACCTTGTTTGAAGGTCATGTCAGCACCGGGGCGTAAACGTTAGACCTTTTTGTGGTCAGGGTAAATGTACAAGGCCGCCCTGCGGGAGCACTCCTTCCCTCTCTTTAATCGGCATATAACAGGCCCTTGTAGAGCCAAACTGTCTGCGACACATCAGCACTTAGAAATAAAAACCCCTCAGCCAACCCTGCGACGGCTGCGGTTGGAGTATGGCAGCTGGATCATTTCAGAGGGACAACACAGACAGGTCTGCTGGTAGAAAGGAAACAGGAAAGGGAAAATCCATTCTAAGATGGAGTTCATACATCTTATTTCTGTATTTTTAAATCTTTCAAAATCTGACTTTTAAATATAGAAATATTTATTTATTTCATCCCTGAGATAAAAAAAAGTCTCCCTTGATGATATTATCATGATGAAAATTATAAAACTGCTTCACTGACTGTGTTGACAAAGTGGCAGTCCATGTGTATTTTATGGCACTATTGTTGTCTGTTGGCACTACAATAAATGAACATAATTTGTATGCATGATTCCAGTGTTCAGTTCTTTCAATTTCAATTTTGATTTTTGTCCCTAGTTTTAGTTCCCTGGTTTTTAAGTGTTTTATGAATGTTAATGCTCTTAATGTTCCAACTTTCAGCTCTCCTAACATTCACTGTATTCTCTTTAAATAAACAGTCTGCAAAGTAAATAAGACAAAACACAGAGCATACAGCCATCTCTCTGTCAGTGAAGCCAATCATTTGAAGGAGCCGAGAAAGCAAACTTAACAGTTCTAATGCTCCAGCCGAGAAACTTAATTTACCAATTTGCAGGAAGACAAGATGGCAGGAAACAAGCCAATTTGCCACGTGTGCAGTGCACAACAAACCCCAGCCTTGCTCCCCGGCCTCATGAGAGGTAATTATCCCTAAAAAAGAATGCCATGCTGTATTAAGATGTAGCCGCATCAAAACGAGGGAGGCAGCCTCATTACAAGTAATTATGAGAGAATTAGAAACATCATTTAACTAAATGAGCAAATAATGTCCAGGATATTGAAGAAGCTGCCTGCACTTCTGCCGACCGCTGCAAGTCCCATTACAAAAATTGTAGGTCTTTAATAGAATAATGACATGCTTTATCTTCCCTGCCTCTCTCTGAGAGGGTCTTGGAACAGAGGGAAGGGCTGAGGGAGAGAGGGGAGGATGTGAAAACAACTGTTGCAGAGCTCTCTGTCCTCAGTGTGGTCTCACTCTTGAGTGTGTAGCATAAGGCCTTCAAGATAATCCCCCTATTATCCTTACAAATACAAAATGGAGAGCAGAGAATTGTATCTCACATCCATTATTGTGTCAAAGGTAATGCTAATGGACTTATCTCTAGAGTAATAGCCCAGTTCTCTACACGTACTGTAGCCTATAATAGTTTGATGCATACTGGACAGCAAATGGCACTTCAAAACAGGCAGTTCAAGAAATGGTTGGTAATTTAACAATGAAGCATAATGCATTTTGCCATTAAAGCCCTAATCCAGATTCTTGGTTAAATATTGTTCTTGGGAGTTTAACTTGGAGATGGAAAGGCTTTCATTGTGGTTCAAATAACAGAAATGCTTGTATTTGACCTTGAGTTTTAAACATCTCAAAATGGGTAATGTTGATTCTGTCAGTCACAGTATTATGACTTTAAAAGACTAAAACTCATTGTTTGATTAAGCAAATAAAAAAAAATAAAGGTGTTTTTATTCAAAGCTTGGTATATCCTTGTGTTTTTATGCCTGTTTCAGTAACCATTTGCATCAGGATTTTGGCTGTATCTTTAAAGTAACCCAAATAATTCCGACAGCTATGACTTTACCATATTTGACTTAATATACTTTACCTATTTGTTGCATTTCGCATTTTCCTTTGCCTTGTAGAGTAGCATATTCCTCTCCTGTTAAGGAGAAGGGGTAAGGGTCTGGGGAGGAAGAGGGGGGACAAACACAATTTCCCTTCAGCTCCTTCATTTCCAGTTGATATAAAACAGAATCATGAAAAATCACTTCTGGTCCGAGCTCTCCTTTTTAACCATTAACCCATAAATACAGAAGCTGGTTAAAGCCAGCGGATGACAGGGCCTGCCTCAAAAACCTTGTTACGCTCCCCTCAAATTCATTTAGGGAGCAAACAGGTCTTGAGAGTTGTCTGGCTTAATGCATTGCGATCGCTTTTAAAACTCTTGTCTTGAGGCAGACCCGAGGCTCTGCATCTGCTCGTGGTGTTATACTTCATAACCTTCCACTCTAATATGAAGCCATACCCTCTTTAAATCAAATGGCTGTAAATATGTTGGGAGGTAGCTGAAAAGCCCTCATCCAAATACATCATGAGGGAAAGGAATATGTAAAAAAAAAAAAAAA